ATATATGGTCTATCTATCTTAACAATCTGATAAGGATCACAGCCTTGCCATTTCTCTTCGAAATAGGACAGAAAGCGAACTTGACCCATGGGTGCGGTCAGCCTTTGGCCGGACCAAAATGACATACAATGATTTTTTTGTTCCTTTATGAAACTGCTACGAGCCAAACGTAAAAAGGAGTGGCGCTATGACATTTTCTGAAAAGAGTGAAGAGTGTAACCTTATACTTAAAATGTTCATATCAAATGACACTAAACGTTCTCCAATATAAAGAAGTCACTAGGATACGTTAGTTTTGTAGCTTATATAAAAAAACGACGAGTTACCAAAATATGTGATGAGCCATGCTTGGAATTCACACAAGGTGCCTCTTTCTTGCGGGACACCAGTCTAGTGTTCAATAAAATGAAAAGCCAAATATGAATTATAATTATAATACTGTCTGTGCTCTGTTGAGGACTGCGTGTATCTGGTCAAAACACTAAATTATGTTGTAACGTTTTTTACTTGATCTGTAATTTAACTTAGGACGCTTAAAAAACAATTTCTTTATTTATCTTTCTATCTTGGATTAGCTTCGGGATACAAAATGACAATATTGTTCCCGGATTGCACCCCATGCTATATAGTGAAGGCGGGATTGAAGACTGAATTAATTCGACGTGTTTGGATTCTGGATTTGCACAAAGTTAGATTTGCATTTCTGTTTGTCCTGACACCTTCAGCTAATTGTGGATTCCAATTCATAAAAATCGAGGTTTTACATCTCGGAGTCCGGGTGAGAGGCAGTTTACGTATAGTACGTACCAGCATAAAAGAAATACTTCCACACAGAGCTGCAACACTGAGTGCCAAGATTAATCTCTGAAATCCAGAATAAACACAGATCATCATCATCATCATCATCATCATCATCATCATCATCGTCATCATTATCATCATCACCATCTTTATCGTCGTCGTCGTCACCGTCACCGTCACCGTCATTGCCACTGTCGTCGTCGCCATCGCTGTCGTCGCCGTTTTCGTCATCGCACGTCATAAACACTCTTCTCCTTGACTAAATTTTTGTAAACCGAGATAAAGTGGAAACGACGTATTTTTTCTAAACCTCTACCACTATATGCTACGATTGTCACTTGCGTATTTTGCATCGGAATATCCATCGTCGAGTCAAATAATTTGACTTGAACTTCACCCACAAAAAGCAAACATAAAGATTTTGATTTTGTCGACGACGAGTCGTTTTGTGCCATTTGTTACTGTAAAAATTCCAGGTTCGCCAATTACTTTCTCCTACTTCTTTCCATTTGAAATCCAGGAGTATTCGTTTTCTTATCATTGTTATTGTTATAAGTCCAAAGATGTTTTAAGTCCTGTCTGTGACATATCCGATGGAAAGCAGCATTTCTGAGCTCTCGTTCTCGGCAGTATTTGCCAAGACCAACGTTTTAATATTTGATATCCATGGCTTACTGCAATATGACGTCAGGGGATTTGAGATCGAAGAATGAGTACACAACGAGTACGAGTTTCTGCTTTTAACCAGTCTTGTCCCCATGCCCCTCGCACCCTCCTGTGACTCACCAGTAGAACAGGAAGCTATCAAACGAAATAGTGTTTGTGATTGGGTTTTGTGAAAGAAGCTGGGCACTGGGCACTAGATTGTTATTGGAACTCATGGCGTACTTTTACCTCGATATGAAGTTCCTCATGCGTGTTGTGAAGACGTCAATGAAACATACCAGCAAAGGAATTAACAATTCGGTTTGCCTCTCTTGCGTCCATTAATTGTCGTTACGAACATCAATACTGCTTGGTTTGAGGGTTACTGCTCAATAGCCCTTTTCACGGTTAATTTTTCTCATTTGCATTACAATGTAATCCAACGTGGATTCGAGGCAATTTCGGGCTAAAACTACAAAATAGCCCGAAATTGCTTCACATACATGCTAGATTTTATTATAACGCAACTGAGCAAAGGTAACCGTGAAAAGGACTATTACAACATCCAGACAACATTACAACACGTTAACTTATTTTGTCACATACAAAACTAAGTTACTGAAAAAACACTGTAAATGAACCATTACCTGGTGAAAATATTTGTAGGTTTTAAACAACCAGATGACAAAAATGATGAACAAGCTGTAAATAATCATAAAAGGAAAATAAACAAACAAGTGAAGTTGGTGGGTAAAAGGGGTAGGTATGCAGCTGGGTAGGGTAGCCAGGTTGGTAAGTACGTAAGTCACTAAGAGGGTAGGTCAGTGGGTATGTAGGTAGGTAGGTAGGTAGGCAGGTAGGTAGGTAGGTAGGTAGGTAGGTAGGTAGGTAGGTAGGTAGATGGATAGTGTGTCATTCAATCTGGCCAGAGATTGCACCAAGAAATCAAGACCTCTGGGTGAAATTGGAAGGTGAGACAGCATTTGCAATAGCAGTTACTCTCTCTGCGCATGCTCAGAAACCGCACCCGCACTTTTTAACCAGACCCAGGACTTTCTAGTACTGGTTTTAGATTTCGCCTAGAGCGCTGAATGTTCGCTCAGCTCTGACTAAAAGCGCGCGGGCCATGATAATAAAACTGCTTTTGATAAGTATTTTCCGTGCATGCGTAGGAATAATTGTACAGACCACTTAGAGTTTGAGTGAAAAAATTGACCGAAGCGTGAACATTCAAACATGGAATAAGTTCCTGCTGAGTTACGTTCTTTAAGTCCTCTACTTTAATAGCTGGTAGGCAGGCGGGCGGGCAGGTAGATCGATCGGCCGGTCGGCCTCTCAGTCGGCATCACTATATCACAATTAGATTACGAGCTCCAATGGTAAACGTATTACTCATAGAAAACGAGGGCGAGTAGTCTAACTGCTTCATTGTCACTCTAAAGACGCTGTGACTCTAAACATAAAACATACAATTTTGTGTATTTCTACGCCTAAAAGTCTCATGAGCCGCGCGATCGTTGTCTGTCAGCGAATAGAGTTCACCACTAAATTTCCTCCGATTCTCATTGGTTTAAATTGATCACGTGGTGCGATAGCGTTCGTCCGCGGAGAGACACTACCAGACCACAGTGCCCGTCCGCGGAAAATACCCGGATGGATAGTACTCGTCCGTGAAAAATTTTCTGTAAACAAGCGGGCTTTTAGAAAACAAACAATTGAAATTGTATTAAGTGGGTTTTTGTCTGTTTTCTTTTTCAGATTTTACATTTGGCTGTCACGACTTTCATCTAAAAAGTTGAAAATAATTCACTATGATTTTTGAACTGGCGCACGGAAGAAAATTTAGTGGTGAACAATAAAGACAAAAGAGTGTTTATGTCTCGGAACTATCGGTCTGATAGTAGCCCCTTGGCCCTTAATTTTCTTAAGGTGGCTCAATCGGATTTTTGAGTAACGATGCCGTCCAACTTTGAGCAACGAGAGCAGCACCATTATCAATCCAAATGGAAAATCGAATGTTACTGGTGTGCTAGAGAAAGATGAAAGTTTCAAATTAGGTAAGTCTCATGAAGGTCTGAGTTACCATAACAACGAAATGACGTCATGCTTCGGGAAAATAGCCGGAAAGCAATCGCGCGTTTTATTAATTCATGATATACAGAAATGTTCAATAGCATGGTGATTCGAGACAAAAGAAAATTATAACGAAGACAACAACCAACATGAATGAAAATTAGCGCAATATTTTCCTGAGTTGACGCTGAAAATTAGCGGCCTCAAAATGTTTCAATTAACTTGAAACGCCAGGATTACGTTGAATATGAATTAATCTCATTGAGGGCCAAGTCTAAAAGAATATTCATCGAGTGTTTTTTAATTCCCGCCCAATTTAATAATTTTAGGAGCAATTTTTGATAAAAAAGCAAAATAACACCTCACACCATTTAATATCCAAGCCAATGTTTCTGAGAGTCCGGATTATGCAAATTAGGAAGAGCCCGGTTCTGAAAATTCAAGCGCATTGAAGCGATGAAAGCCGATTAAAATCAGTACGAGAATATCAGTAGCTAAAA